CCCTCCCTCCCTCCCTCCCTCCCTCCTTTCTTTCTTTCTTTCTTTTTTTTCTTTCTTTCTTTCTTTCTATGAATACACTGCAGATGTCTTCAGACATACCAGAAGAAGATATTAGAACCCGTTACAGACGGTTGCGAGCCACCATGTGGTTGCTGGGAATTGAGCTCAGGACCTCTGGAAGCTCAGTCAGAACTCTTAACTGTTGATCCAGGTCTCCAGCCCTTAATTACATTTTTTAATTAAAATTTTTTTGGCATGTGTTGCATATCATACTGCACATATGCATAAGTCAGTCAAAAACTTTCAGGCATTGGTTCTTTTCTTACACCACTTGGACACCATCATTGAACTCAGGCTTGATGGCATACCCCTCTACTCACTGAACTGACTTTTGTGTGGGAGTGTGTTGCCTTCTTTGTATTCTGAGGGTCTTAAAGGTGTTTTTTTTTTTTTTAAAAAAGATTTATTTATTTTATGTGTTTGAGTGTTTTGCCTTCCTGCCTGTATGTGTACCATGTGCGTGCCTGGGCTCACAGAGTTCAGAAGATGTAGAATCCCCTGAGGCTGGAGTTACAGATGGTTGTAAGCTACCATGTAGGTGCTAGGAACCCTGTCCTCTGAAAGAGCAGCAAATGCTCCTAATTGCTGAGCCCCCATGGGTTGTATTCTTGTAGGTCTTCTGGCAGCAGGAATCCTGCTTTTAACTGGACAATTCTCTGAAGTTACTTAGAACTTCTAGGAAGTTCAGTTTGTCTACATTCTTGTGCTTGTTTTTGTCTTACAGCCTGTGGGTGAGCTGTATGTAACTCTTTGCTGTTACTGTGCTGAAGTGTGTGTCCACATGCCTTTTGGATCCATCCCCTATGACCTTTTAAATGGTACTTGAGTGTGATACTGGTCTCCTTATGTTTGTGGACTTTTTTTGCTATGAAAGGGTACTGGGTTAATTTTGCTTTTTATTAGAGCAGAAGATAGAGACCAGTACAGATGTGAGGAAACCAGTTCACAATATTACAAACTTGTCACGTTTTGTTATTCTGTGAGCTGTTCTCACTGCTTAGAGAAATGCTTTGCAGACAAAAAGCCTGGAAGCCTACATCCTTGACAATTGCTTCCTCTGGGGGAGAGGTTAGCAAGTGGGAGACCTTCATTTATTATAAAATGTATTAATTTATTGTGTGTGTATGCAACGTGTGTGTGCACTCCCACATGCTTACCCTGTCATGTGCATGCAGTGTCAAGCACATATTGGTCATAGGACAACTTTTGAGAATCAATTCTTTTCTTTCGCCAGTTGAATCCTGGGGGGAATCAAGCTCAGGTCATCAGGCTTAGTGGTGAACACCTTTACCCTCTCAACCATTTCACCACTCTATTTCTATTTTATATTTTTCTGTGGAATTTATTAATGTGATTATGTATTTCTTCTCTGTTCATTGGAAACCTTTGTGATTCAAAAAACTAATGCTTATTTAGAAAGAAAGGCACAAGGGGGCCCAGTGGGAGAAGAGAAAAGTTAAACAGCATATGTGTGAAATGACACAATTGCCGGAAGGAAGCCCATTGCTTTGTATGTTCACCTAATAACTTATAATAATAATAATAAAAAAAGAATGATGCTGGGGATGTGGTGCTGCACACCTTTAATCCAAGAAATCAATGGACAGAGGCAGGTGGATATCTGGGAGTTTGAGGCCAGCCTGATGTCAAAACAAAACCCAAAAAAGCTCAAATTCAAGATATGGTATGGTACGGTACGGTATGGTATTTGCTGCTTATAATGGAAAGCCTCCAAAACATCAAAACCACTCAGATGAAAGGCCTTTTTTATACCAAACCTAACTACCAACTTTAACATCAACAGGTTAGTGCAGATAATCTGATTGATTGTTGAGGATCAAACCTAGTACCTTATACATGTTAGAAAACAAGTGATAAGCTACACTAAAGTCCATTTCAAACTATTCAACAAATTGTTTTCTAAGGAAGCAAAGCATATTATTAGCAAGAGAAGAAGCAAACATAGCCCTTGAAGCCAGTGTCCACTGCACCATGTTTGACAGAAGGAGTAGGCTCTAAGGCTGTAATGAGATACAAGCCACATAAAGGACTGTTATCAGGACATACTTCATTCACTGTTATTTGTATAAAATACTCATTAATAATTTGGATCTGTCAGTGGAGCATGCATGAATATAGTGTGATCATCATTTGACTTCATGCAGTTTTGGACTAGAAGATATTTGTAGTAATTTACAAAATTGCAAAAACTTAAAAGGGAGCTATTTAGTGTTTTTGGTAAATAAGAACTACTATTTCTTAGTCTTCAGCTTTGTACTCAGAAGTGGCACTTCTGTAAACAAGAATCCCTGTTTCTCTATAAAGTTTTCTTTCTTTGATTTAAGTTGTGCTAATGTTTTAGTTAGGGTTTCTATTAGTGCAACAAAACACCATGACCAAAAATCAAGTTGAGGAGGAAAGGGTTTATTCAGCTCACACTTCCACATTGCTGTTCATCACTAAAGGAAATCAGAACAGGAACTCAAGCAGGGCAAAAACCTGGAGGCTGGAGTGATGCAGAGGCCATGGAGGGGTACAGTTTACAGGATTGTCTCCCCTCGCTTGCTCAGCCTGGTTTTCTTAGAAAACCCAGGACTACAACCTAGGGGTGTTCCCACCCACAGTGGGCTAGGCCCTCCCCATTTATCACTGGGAAAATGCCTTACAGCTGGATCTTATGCAGGCATTTCCTTAACTGAGGCTCTTTCCTCTCTGATGACTCTAGCTTGTGTCAAGTTGACACAAATCCAGTGTCAGTACAATTGACTCTTTGTCATCTTGACACACAAAAGCATCACTATTAAGCCACAAACCTTCCTTTCTTATTCATCCCCAAGACCTCACATTAAAAACATAAATAACTTAAAAAGTCCCACAGTCTTTACAAATTCAAACACATTAAAATTTCAGGGTTTTTTTTTTGGGGGGGGGGCAGGCAGTGGTGGTACAGTACTTGGGAGGCAGAGGACAGCTTGGTCTACAGAGTGAGTTCCAGGACAAAGTTATACATATCGAAAACCTTGTCTTGAAAAATAAAACGAAAAAAAGTTTTTAAAAAATAACTAATCTCGCCTGGCAGTGGTGGCGCACGCCTTTAATCCCAGCACTTGGGAGGCAGAGGCAGGCGGATTTCTGAGTTCGAGGACAGCCTGGTCTACAGAGTAAGTTCCAGGACAGCCAGGGCTATATAAAGAAACCCTGTCTCGAAAAACCAAAAAAAAAACCCAAAAAACCTAATCTCTCCAAAAATTCAAAATCTTCTTTTAAAAGTTCAAAGTCTTTCAGCTATGAGCTCCTATAAAAATCAAAATTAAATACTTTCTTACTTCAAGAGGGAAGAACCAGGGTACAGTCACAATCAAACCAAAGCAAAACCAAGTTCCATCAATGTAAACAACACAAAATTTAATGACTGGGATCCAGTCACAATCTTCTTGGCTTCTCCACGGGGCTTGGGTCACTTCCTATGCTCTGTCCTCAGCAGCACACACAGCTTTTCTTCTAGTCTCTGGCTGGCTCCACTCCACTGCTGCTGTCCTTGGTAGTCATCCCATAGTACTGACATCTCCAAAATTGCTGGGGTCCTCTGCTGCAGCTGGGCTGCACTTTAACTAATAGACTTTCTTCATGTCTCAACTTCTCCTCATGATCCCTTCACTCCAGGGCTTTCAACTGCTACTGAGACTGGGCCTTCACTAATAGCTTCTTTTGGTTTCTCACAGTGCAAACCTCAGCTGCTGTCAGTTACCCCCCTTCATGGTTAACAATGCTATGCATTATTATAATGTCACTTTGTGATGTTAAGATTTGTTCTTCATGCACTCTTTTTATGTTTTCTCTGTAACAGATATTTGCTTATGATCACTGTTTCTGGTCCATGGATGAATCTGTCCAAGAGAAGTATGCAGGTAATTGAGCAGTTTCCTGTGTACTTAGTAATGTAGAGGCATTTTGGTGTGATCTCCATCCACTACCATGGTATCATTTGGTATAACTTTTAGTATCCAGGCAGCTGCTTCCAGCATTTGCTCTGAAAGGGTTAGGGACCAAAAGACTTCAGTGTGATGTTCTTGAGGGTGAGATGATGAATATCTATGACTATAAGATCTCACAGAGTCCCTTTTTCTTTCATCTAATGGGACCAGGAGCTACATCATAGGCATGCAGACCTCCATGATATCTCTGATGTGATCTAAAGGGACCTGGCATAAGTAGAGAGGATCCCTATACTGGAGCCTAAGTTCTAGTCCTTAAAAACCTCTGTGATGCTTGCCAATTCTTCAGGTCTGCCAGAGAGTCTCTCTTCCCTCTGTACTATAACCCCGGGGTCTCAGTTTTCTTTTGCCCCTGTTGTAGTACCTTCCCAGAGATATTTGTCTATCCTCATATCTCCACGTGGATGCTGAAAATTGAACCCAGGTCCTCTGCAAGAACAGCAAGTGCTCTTAACTTATGAACTGTCTCTCTGTCTCCTATTTCTGGAATCTCACTCCCTGTTATAACTGTTATGAATTGTAGGTTGTAAAACTTGAAATTTTTATGAGGAAAAGGAAAGGGAGTAATTGATGTATATGATTTTTCTGAACTCTAGTATACTTTGAATAAAAGTATGGTATGTAGTTTCAGGCACATCTAGATCTTAAATTTAAATTTTAGATGTTTAGGGCCTGTGAGATGTTCAGATAATCAAGGTGCTTGTACCAGGCCCGATGATCTGAGTTTAACTTCCAGGATCCACATAGTGAGTGGTGAGAACCAACTCCTAAGGTTGTTTTCTGACCTCCATACATGTGGCAACACACATACACATGACACACAAAAAATAAATAAAGAAGATTATTGAATCTTAGGTGTTGACTGTAAAATAAGCAGCTCTTGAGCTCTGCATTGCATAGTCTCATGGGTGTCCATCTTCAAACATGTTTACAGAAGACCATTTACTGATTCCTCTTCTTACTCTAAGTAGAAATAATCTATGGGACAGAAGGTATCTGTGGACAGGAAGCATCTACCAACTTTAAAAACCTTCTTGAGGATAAATAAGCTGATTTTTTTTGAGATTTTTGTTTGAGTTCTTATTTGTTCATGTGCTCTTTGCCCATAAAATATCATTTTCCTGTCCTTTAGGTCAAGATGATGTTTTCAAATGCCTTGGGGAGAACATTCTTCAGAATGCATTTGATGGCTACAACGCGTGTATCTTTGCCTATGGCCAGACAGGTAATGTGAACTAACATATCCTTGCACATTCAGGCATTTATCCATGAAGGTGAAGATGAAACCATGCTCACTGGGCCACACTGCTTACTTACCTCTATTAGTTTCTCTCACAGGTGATAGAAGTAGACAGTAGGATGTTTTCTAAGACAATGCAGGAAAATTAGGTTTAAAGTTGTTTGTCTTTATTTTTTTTCACATGTGAAGTTGCTTTTCTTCCTCTTACTCCTCTTCTTCCTTTAAAATTTGTCAGAAATCCAAAAAGAAGCCAGTTATGGGGCTAGAGAGATGGTTCAGTGGTTAAGAACACTTGCACTTGCTATTCCTCCAGAGAACCTGTGTTAGGTTCCCAGCACCTACATGGCAGCTTACAACCACCTGTAACTCCAGTCCAGGGGACCTGAAACCCTCTGCTGGCCTCTGCAGGCACTAGGCATGCAAATGGTGCAAAATGCCCACACACATTAACTAAAAACTAGCAGAAAAAATATTTTTAGAAGAACACACTTAGCTTGCGGCGGTGGCACACGCCTTTAATCCCAGCACTTGGGAGGCAGAGGCAGGCGGATTTCTGAGTTTGAGGCTAGCCTGGTCTACAGAGTGAGTTCCAGGGCAGCCAGGGCTACACAGAGAAACCCTGTCTTGAAAAACCAAACCAAAAAAAAAAAAAAAAAAGAACACACTTGTTAATATTGTGCTAGTTATAACTGGAAAAGACTTTAGGCGTTTATACTTTGTAATTAAAGAAATAAAACCAATTTAAAGTAAAACTTCTTCTATAACCCAGCCTGGCTTTGACCTTGCTATTCTCCTGCCTCAGCCTCTAGAGTGCTGGTATTACAGGCTTGTACCATCACAACTGGCTCCTGAGTCATCTTCAATGAATACTTCATTCTTGTATATTAGAAGAAGCTTATTGTTCCCTGCACTATTACAAGAGTGCAGTAAGCTGATTTGCCCTGAAGCCCATGAGTACCTGTGTCTTTTGTGCTTTGATTTCAGTAGGAAATCATATTCAGTTAGGAATATCTATATAATGGTATTGTCTGTCTTATTCTTCCTCCCTCCCTCCCTCCCTCCCTCCCTCCCTCCCTCCCTCCGTCCTTCCCTCTCCTGAGTCAGGGTGTCTACTGGAGCCTGGCTTTGAACTGATCCTCCTTCCTCTGTCTCCTGCTGGATTAGAGGCTCAGGCCATCCTGCTTGGTTGGGCTTTTTTCTTTCTAGACCATGTTTACTTTTGTTTGACACAAGTAATACAAAGCTTCTGTATGTTCTATCCTTACTGTGCATTTCTTACTTTTATTCACATATATATATATTTATTATATTTTATGATTTTTTCTAAGTCCTAAAAATTGACTGTAAATAGTAGAAAGAGGGTTATAGATGCTTTAAACTTCTCCAGGAAGTACTGATGGCTGTTTTCTGTCTCTCAGGGTCTGGAAAGTCCTACACCATGATGGGCACTGCTGACCAGCCTGGATTAATCCCAAGGCTCTGCAGTGGACTCTTCGAACGAACACAGAAAGAGGAAAATGAAGAACAGAGTTTTAAAGTTGAAGTGTCCTACATGGAAATTTATAATGAAAAAGTCCGAGACCTTCTTGACCCCAAAGGGTAAACTTGGATGCTTGAGTGCTGTGTGTTTCTGCAAACAGACATAATAGATTGTGGCTTCAGAGAAGTTTGTAATTGAACTGTAGTTGAGGATGACCTAACTTTGTTGTTTGTAATTTATGTTTACAAGGATCAGTTTCCCACAGAATTCTGGGTGGTTAGAGCTGGCAGGATGATGATGGTTCAGGTCTGTACTTGTGCCATGCTGCCTCTCCTCTCATGGCCCAAAGCCACAGACAAAACAGGTGACGAAAGTGTTCATTTAGTGTGAGTGTAGCTGCAGCCTTCAGTGACACAGCCTCTTTTTTCTTGTTTTGCTTTTGTTTTAAGGCAACATAGTTTGGATTTCCGTGGTTGGTTCCAGGCCTGAAGTGAGGGGGAAAGTAAATGCAGAGCTTGGAACCTGGTCTTAAAATATTCTTAAAGCCTCCTCCTCGGGGTAGGGAGTGCCCTGACCTTAGGGGTGACTTTGAAAGGGAACTGCTTCAGGACACACGAATGCCCTCAGAATCACTCTGCTCACCCTGCAGCCAGGAGGAAAATGAGCAGAGAGTGGTAGCTGAGGAACCTGTGTGCTGCAGAGCAGGGAAGGAGACGGGAAGGGGAGAGGGAGAGTGGGAAGCAGTGGCTGTGGCTGGCTCACCTGAAGCTGCATTAACTGGGTCAGAGAGCCATGGGTGTACAGCCCCAGAGGGAATAGTGAGCTGTGTTGGGATGAGGAAGGTGGTCCAGGAAAGATGATATGAGAGGCAGAGAATCCCAGTGAAGCTTAATCAAGAGCAAACAGATCAGCACCTCACAGCCATCTTTCTTTGGCCAGTATGATCTTCAAGCTGGGACTTGAATTGGTACTTGATATGGCTGTCCAAATTTTACCTACTCATTGTTTATCAAGTCATCCTTACAATGCCCGCCAGGCACAGTCAGTTCAGAGGAAGAGCCCATAGTCTGCAGAGAATGAGTTTTGCAAACAAGTTAGAACGGTGTGCAGTCTACTTTTCACTTGTGAGGGATGCCAACACAAAATATAGTGCAAAAAGGGAAAGATGGCCTTTCCCAGAGCCCAGAGAAGATTCCATAGAGGTGTTTTGTGGCCCTGTGCAGAGTAGTTTATCCACTGAGAAGTGAGGTGAGAACAGTTAGTATGTAGGCACACCCTGTGCCAGCATGTGAAGGTGTCTGGATGTCACCCATTTATAGGATGATCAACGTTCAGTGCAGCTGGAAGGTAGCGTGTAGATCCAGAATGTCTTAGAAGGAGGCCAGACATGGGTGGCTGTGGCTCAGGCACCCATACTTTGCTCCCTGTACATTTTTTATTCTATCTTGAGTGCTTTTCTTTTGACCTCTGCAAAGATGGCTACTTTCTCTGAGTTCTAGCTCAGACCTACACTTCCCAGAAACAGTAAACTGGCTGGCTTCATTGCTGTTCATACTTGTATCCCCTAGTGAACTATCTTGAAGTCTGTCAGATGTGTTTAGTCTTTAGTCTTTGCTTGTATGTTTTGTTTGTGGCTTAGTACTCAGCACATGGGCTTTGTAGTTACAGAGCTCAGGAACAAGGTCCTCTTGTTCGTGGCTGAGCAAGTTCCTTGCACCTTCTAGGAGAACTATACAGGGAATGTATGATGCTATCTCACAGTGGCCGATGGGGCTTTTGTGAAGATTGAGAGCATGATATGCTCCAGGTATCAGGACTTCTAGCATACAGTAAGCAATTAACACATCCTAGCTGTGGTTTTTCCTGTGGAAGTTTCTTGAGGAATAAAAAAGTTTTTTTTTTTAATGTAAAAACTTTTATTTATGTGTATATATGTATGTGTTTGTGTGTATATCACATTTGCAGTGCCTGTGGAGGTCAGGGGAGGGTATGGAATCCCCTGGAGCTGGAGTTGCAGGTAGTTATGAGCTGTCTGATATGTGTACTAAGAGCCAAGCTCTATCCCTGCCAGAGCAGCTAGGACCCATAACAGCTGAGCCATCTCTCCAGAGCCTACAAACATTTCTGTTTCTAAAATGTTAAAATAATGGATTAAAAGTTGTAAATTAGATTCATTTCAACCAGAGTATTTGAGAAAACACCATTCTTAAAATTCAAGCACTGATTTTATTAATTCAATGACTATCGTGTATAGTAATGTAATCTTGTTTTGCTTGAGACATAATGTAGTAGATATACATTGTCTTTAAGGAAAAGGCGCCAGGAAGGCTGGAGAGATCACTCAATGGCTAAAAGTCCTGACTGCTCTTTCAGAGTACATGGGTTCAATTCTTAGTATCTACCTGGTGGCTCACATCATCTGTAACTCCAGATCCAGAGGAAGTCTGTCCTCTCCTGGCCTCTGTGAACACCAGATGTGTAAATTGTTCACAGATGTAGATGTTGACAAAATACCTATTCACATAAAAAGGGCGGTGACACTGAGGACACAGCTTAGTTTGTAACATGCTTTCTATGCAAACATGGCGACCTGAGTTGGATCCCTAGAAATCATGTTTGTTTTTGTTTTTAATTGTGTGTGATCTGTATGCCTGTAATCCCAATATTGAGGAGGCAAAGACAGGCATACCCCTGAGGCTAAAAAGCCAGCTGTCCTAGCCAGTCATCGAGTTCAGGTCCCAGTGAGAAACCCTATCTTAAAAAGTAATTTGGAAAACATCCGAAGAATGACACCTGAGGTTGACCTCTGGCCTCTATAGGTACACTTGTTCCCATACGTGCTTACATATAAATGAACATGCACATATACCCACATACATACATATACACATTTTTTTAAAAGGGAAAACTGAAAGGCTAAAAGCTAATAGCAGACTGTATCCTGCTGTAAGGACTGAGCAGCAATCCAGTGCTATGTCTGCTGGAGCTGAAATCACATAATATTACAGAACCACTTGTCATCATCAGCATTCATGTGCCATTGTAAGTTGAACCCAGGAGGCCAGAGATCTGAATCCATTAGAAATACTGAACTGTGGTCCATATGATGGAAGACAGAAGCTTTTAGGTGGCAGAGCCATGCCCTGGTTTCCCCACTTTGCTGAACTGTTTGTTTACTCATCCAGTACCTTTGCTCCATTCTTGTATGGTAGATGAAGTGGATATGGTTCCAGGTTCCCTGTGACTCAGGCTATGTTCACCACCATTCCTTCCATTCTCCCCGTGCTGTTATTTGTTACCTGTACTGTGTCTCCAGGCTCTTCAGCTGATACCTTGCAAGTCCTTGTTGGCACCTTAGTTCTGTTCCTACTTTGTTTGCCAAGTGTGTTTATTCTCTGAGTGACTCTTAGGTGCCAGGGATTGTAGTAGGAACTGTTGACCTCAAACCTATTATTAATGCAAGGTATTCTTCTCTTCTAGAGCCTAAAGTCTATTAGGCAAATAAATTCTGATCCATGGTAGGGATGAGCAGACTCTGAGACAAGACAATGATGGGAACAGAATGTAAAAGAGCATGCGTGTTAGACTGAGGAGCATGAGCCTTGTTTTGTAGCACCAAAAAACCACCACAGAATTTTAAGCATTCTAACTCATTATTTATTTTGAAAAGAATCTCTTATATGGCCAAATGAACACATAGTAGAAAGTACAGATAATAAACAAAAAATTGTAATCACCTGGGATTTCACTATTAGTTAATGTTCTTTTTCAAAATAATTTTGACAAATAGTACTTTCATTTCTAGAGTGCAGTGGGAGTATTTTAGGATACGTAGACTCTATGAAATGGCTTCCCCTATTTAACTGTTGCCTCAGTTGTCATTTTTCTATTTTTATGGTGTGGTGTGAACAAATGAGACCCCTCCCCAGCAATTTTGAAATATGATTTACACGATGACTGCTATAGTCACCATCCTGTTTGTGGCCCTCAGGGTTTACCCCTCCTGATTGAAACTTGGTTCCTGGACAGGCATTCCTGGTATTTGCCCAGAATACTGAGGGTGCTACAGCTCCATACTTGCTGGGAGCTTGTTTTAGAAACTAATTAATGTTTACTTTTTGTTTATTGAAACTTTTTGCATTTACTGAACCGATCATACTTCCCCCTTTCTTTTTCTAGTTTATCAGTGTGATGAATTGTGCAGACCCCCTTGTTAGGACAACAGACAAGTCTCAGATAAGCTCTCTCTTGTGTCTATAAATCTCTCTGAGAGCCCTTTGTTGTCTTTGTGTCTTTGTTCACAGCTGAGCTAGGCCTGTGGTTTTTCTTTCTTGTGGAGTTAACACGTACAGAACTTCTGTCTTGGGGCTAGTTCTGTGATATGACAAGGAGATTGTTGGTATTCATTTGACTCTGCATTCTTTACAGTAGTAAATAGGCTTCCCACACTTACCCTTTTGAGCAATGTGGTATTTTGCCGCATTATCAAGCTTTTCTTCTCAGCAAGGATTTTAAAGTTAGGTTTAAATCTTTGTGGGATCCGGTGATCTGCTTTTCTGTATTAGGGGGTCTCTCTTGAAGTGTGTATATGTTTCTGTGAAGCACAGTTGAGTCCTTGTAAAAGTCTCTAATGGACTGTGTCTCTGTCATGACAGAAGCCGTCAAACGTTGAAAGTGAGAGAGCACAGTGTGTTGGGACCCTACGTGGATGGACTTTCTAAACTGGCTGTCACCAGCTACAAGGTAACAATATCCTTTCTTTAAGGTGCTTCAATTTACTGCCATTTTGGCTCATTACATTTCTTTACTTTTGAATGAATATTTAAAATTTTTATTATTTTTATTTTATGTCTATGTATGTTTTGCCTACATGTATGCTTGTGTCCTATCAGGTGTCTGATGTCTCTGAGGCCAGAAGAGGGCATCAGATCTCCTCAGCTAGAGTTACAGACAGTTTTGTGAGCTGCTATGTAGGTGCTGGGAATTGGACTCAGGTTTTCTGGAGTCATCTCTCTGGCCCTGGGTTACATTTTTAAGATTACATTTATAATACCACCATTTAATAACTCTTGTTGTACAAAAAAATTTCAAAGTGATAATGGGGATTAGTCAGTAAATGTCAGCTACGTTCAATGAGGCCTGGTCTCATCTCTTCAGAACTAATGGATCCAGAATGGGCTTGGGAAAGTTTTTACAAGATGTTTTGCCTATGTTGATATTTTTCAAACTAATGATTTTGCTTTGAGAGTATTTGTTGTATTGAAATTTTTGCTAAATATTCTTTTTAATTTGTACAGCAAAACTAATTACATGACATGAAATTTTTCTATATGTCTGGTAGCTTTAACATTGCATTCAAGTACATATATCATAAAAAATAACAGGATTTAAGTTTTGTTACTGTATGGATTATTACATGTTCTGTTATGCATTCTTAGTGTTTAGGAAGTACTGGTTGGTGTATGGTGGGTGGTTTCAGTATATGTGTGAGCGAATGAATCTAAGAATAAGCAGTGATTTAAACAGTGCTTTTCTGTTAAGGAAGTCTGACATAGGCACTCCGAGGCTGGTGTCATGGCTCTAAGCTGTTGGGAAGGACTCAGGTCCTTCCCCACTCCACAGGGAGATGCTGTACTATGTGTGTGTGTTCTGCTAATGTCTCTTATAGCAGACATATGATAGCATGTCTGCTTACATTAAGGAGGATAACCCAGATGGTCTGCTTTACACTGGAGTTCATCATGTGGCCAGGCTGGGCTGCAGAGATCTGGAAATACAGCCTCTTGGCTCTGCCACAGCAGACTTAGTGCAAGAGAGAGCTCCTTCACCGGAAAGAACACTGAGTGGTGGGAGGTAGCTGAGTAGCACTTTCGCATCTCCATCTTTGACTCCTGATTTTACAAACCCCTGGAGAGGACTTTGCTGGCTGTATTTATTCATTATTGTTTGTGGTGCCAGGGATTAGACCCCAGGCCTCATGCATGCTAAGCAGTTGCACTGATCTTGGGATCCATTCCCAGCCCAGGAAATGATAATTTGTGTTGTAGTTAATGAAACTAAGCTCTGATTGCTTCAGTCACTGTTTCAGAGCCTATAGCTTTTGTGAGGTGAGGGAAAGACAGGGTCTCACTGTGTCACCCTGAATGACCTGGAATTGTTGTATAGACCAGACTGGCCTCAAACTCTTAGAGATCCACTTGTTTTGCTTCCTGAGTGCTGGAATTAAAGGTATATGCCACCACATCTGTCCTCAGCTCATAGCATTTGGAAAAACTGAGCCAGCTGTGGTGGCACAGCCATGTCTTTGCAGTTCTTTAGGAAGCTGAGGCAGGAGGATAGACAGTTGAAGGCCTGCTTGGGCTGCAGAATGAGTTTAAGGCTAGCCTGAGCAACATATTTAGGCCCTGTCTCAAAAATAGATAGATAGATAGATATAGATAGATAGATAGATGAATGAATGAATGAATGAATAAGCTAGAGATAACTCAGTGGTAGAGCATACATACATACATACATACATACATACATACATACGTATATATATGTAGCATGTATGAGGCCCTGGGTTCAATTCCCAGAACTGCCTTCCTCCCCGCAAATCACAGCAGGTTTTCTAGTATTTCCAGCTTTATGCTAATTTTTTAAAAGTGGTAGTATCAAACATATACCTAATGTGTTTGAGGGAAGGGGTTAAACTCTTTTGTATTTTATATAATTTGTTTTGGTAATAAGCTTGTATTTCTTTTGCAATTAAATGCATTTATTATTATTATTTTTTTTTGGCTCTCATCTTATGTCACTCAAAAGTATTATTTCTAATGCTGTGCATGGCACACCTGTGATACAGTGCTGTGGAAGCAGAGACAGGAAGATCACAAGATTGTGGCCAGCTTGGGCTATATAATGAATGTGAGGCTAGCCTGCGGTACCTTGTAAGATCCTATCTGTGAGTTGAGGGAGTCTAGCTTCTGAACTTCTTTGTGTCAAAGCTGCCATGTGCTTCTGTGTCTGCAGTGAGTAAAGCACTTTAGTTGACCCTTGAAAATAGTATGGACTCTTGTATTCTTGTGGAAAAACAAAATGTAGCTTGTAAAACTTGGGTGCTTGTGGTAGTATGAGAAAGCGGCGTGCTTATTCACAAATAATGAGTAAGGGCCTGTCACCTGTCTCCACTTAGGACATTGAGTCTCTGATGTCTGAGGGCAATAAGTCTCGGACAGTTGCTGCAACCAACATGAATGAAGAAAGTAGCCGTTCCCATGCAGTCTTCAAAATCACCCTGACACATACTCTGTATGATGTGAAGTCTGGGGTGAGTAGCTTCTCAAATGACCATGGTTTAGTCCAACGGCTCCATCTTCCTGACGCTGAGACCCTTTAGTACAGTCCTCATGCTGTGCTGACCCCCAACCATAAACTTATTTTTGTTGCTACTTCACAACTGTAATTTTGCTGCTATTAGGAATCATAATGTAAATATCTGATATGTGATTCTCAAAGGGGTTGTGAACCACAGGTTGAGAATCGCTGGTTTAGCCTATTCTCTTTGCTAGCTAAACTGAAGGCCTGATCTAGACTATCAGTCAGGACTCAGGACAGAAGGTCCTGACAGGAACAGAAGCTGCTGTACTGTAGCTGCAGCACTGGTGGAACACCCCAAGAGGGTTAGGGTCACTCCTAAAACCACAAGGGACACACATAGCTTTAGTCAGGAATAAAGAAATTGCTTCTGCCAGTGAAGCTGCCTCTTAGCACCCGCAAGCTGTAGAATGTCCTAGAGACCCTTAGATTTCATGACTTCCCTGATGGCAGAAAAAAGGCCAAGGAAGACACTTAACTTCTGCTTTCCAGTCTTTAACAAGAGAGTCTGAAGGAATTTAAGTCATACCCTGCGGCCTGGCTGCACGGGAGTCTTGGATTAGGTGTAGTTCCTACCCTCTCCAGGAAGAGAACAGTGAGGCTGAATTACACAAGCTGCTGACCTGGCTCAGCCACAGCAGCTGTCCACTTTACACCCAGATGGCTAGTTTCAGCTGAGACACCTTTGTCTGTATCCCTGCTGCTAAACAGCCAGGAGGTCAAGGAGCAGCTTGCATTGGGGAAGGGTGCCATAAAATCATTGAATGTGTAGAGTGCTCTTTGAGTGTTTGCTTGGAACCTTGGGAGCTGCTGAGGCCTCTGGCACGTTG